TTTTATTTTTAAAAAATATATTTATTTAAAATGTCAAATATACTAAAAAATATATATATTTAAAAAATTAGTTTTTAAGTCTGTGAATCATGTGAACTGAAACTAATGAGATGAAGCAAACGAGTTGAACAGAACTGTTTGTGAACTTATAACGAGTCGAGTTTGAGTTTAAAAAAAAGTTCGTGTCAAACTCAAACTCAAATCAATTCTTAACGAGTCGAGCCGAGCTGAAGTGAGTTCGACTCGACTCATTTCTAGCCCTAATTATAAGAAAAAATACTAATTTAACCACTGGATTAAATTCAATTTGAAGGCTATGATGTGGAGTAAGTGGATCTCCACTCTATATATAGAATGGAGTAAGTTAATCCTGTGTGTGTGTCTGTAACATTAGATAATCATCATTAATAATTTAAAAATATAATTAATCAAAGAATTAAGATTAGAAGTTCTTGAATAATAATTAAAAGTAGAGTGTTATAGTACTTACCCCTTTAAAATAATTTAGTCCTTGAAAACAATCCTCTTTGTTCCAGATTTTCTCCACTGTCTCCAAACACTCTAATTAAAATGTTTGTCTGATTCCAAATCACCTTAACCAATATGTTTTCTTTGCCCCTCATGTACCTCACACTTCTATCTGCAATACTCATTGGAGAAACTTTAAATGAGAGCTTATCTTTAAGTTGGACATCATCAGGTGTGATGATATGCAAAGGATCAACCATATCCTTCCTCAATTGAGACACATGAAACACGTTATGCAAGTCAGTCAAATTCAGAGGTAGTGCAATATAATAAACTACGGGACCTACGCGTAGAATGGTTTGATACGGTCAAATGAGTTTAGGGGTTGCGTTCTTAGACTTTAATGTTTTGTCCACACCTGCCTTAAGCGTCACTCTCAAAAACACACGATGTCCTACTTGAAATTTCAAAGCTCTCATCCGCTGATTCCGCATAACTCTTTTGTCTTCTCTTAGTTGTTTTTATTTTTTCCTGAATCAGTTTCACCTTCTCAGTCGTCTGTTGTACTAAATCAGGTCCTATAATTGAGTTTTCGCCGTCTTTGTACCAACATAACGGTGACATTTGCGTCTATACAAAGTCTCGTGTGACGCCTTTCCAACACTTGCATGATAGCTATTGTTATAAGTAAATTCCACATGTGATAGATACTTCTCTCAACTTCTCTGATCATATAAGAAACAAGTTCTTAACATGTTTTCCAAAATTTGAATATTCCTCGATTTGCCCATCTATTTGAGGATGATAAACAGAACTCAATCTCAACTTTGTACCTAGAGCTTCATGCAACGCTCCTCAAAAGTGAGAAGTAAACCAAGTATTATCTTTTCTAGAAATTCAAACCTTTCAACTAGGAATGAAATTCTTCAAGTGACAGGTGTGAATAAGAATGCTCAGATAAGCTTTTACCTTAGTGTCCCCATTATAGGGAAGAGCCCGAAACAAACAGATTTCCACCACATAATTGACAAGGTGAAAAGGAAGCTCACTATGTGAAAGGCAAGTCAACTTTCTATGGTAGGAAGAACTACTCTTGCTAAAGAAATAATTGGATCTCTTCCCACCTACTATATGTTGAGTAGCAAAGTGCCTATAAGTTGTCTCAAGGAAATTCAGAAATGTCAAAGACAATTCTTACGGGGAGATACTTATGGAAAAAGTCACATTCATACAATCAATTGGAGCAAGATCGTCAACCATAAACCGGAATGAGGTCTTTGTATGAGAAACCTGAAAGTAATGAACAAAGCTTATCTGGAAAAAATAGGGTGGGATCTCATAAAGGATGAGAATGCTCTGTGGTGAAAACCGCTCAGAGGCAAATATGGTATAGGATCAACTAGTGTAGGTAGTAGATAAGCAAAAAATCAAGACTCTGGTTTGTGGAAAGCTTGGGTTGATATTTGGTATGTCCTTGATAATCTTATTATCTGGGTGGTAGGCAATGGTGAAAACATTGAAGCTTGGAATGATTGTTGGGTTGATAAGGGTATTAGACTGAAAGATTGTTGATGAAGAAGGCAACTAGAGCTTGAGAAAATTGATAAGGATGTTCAATCAAGATATCTTAGATTGAGTAGTTGTTATTTATCCGGCCAGAAGTGACTTGGGCAAGGATTAGTGTGTTCGGGGAGGAACTACGAATAGAATGTTCTCCATTGCTTCAGTTTATGCTGAATTAACCACATGTCCAAACACCATAGCTAGTGTGGATTGGAAGGCCATATGGAGATTAAAAGTTCCTGAGCTCGTTAGAATATTCATGTTGATGATGCACCACAATGGCTTAAAGACAAAACAAATGTTGGCTCAAAGACATATATGTGATCCGGATTGTATTGATTGTGCAGGAGTGCATGAATCGATTCATGCGCTGAAAGATTATCCAAGTGTGAAACAAATCTGGTGGGAACTCCTTACACCAAATCAATGGGAGAGGTTTTTCAATCTGAACTCTCATGATTAGTTGTCCTTCAACATGAAGACCAACGCCAATACTCTAGGAGATTAATTGGCCTGAATCATGGGTAATTGTGTGTCATGTTTTATGGCATGGGAGGAATCAAAAGCTCTTCGTGGATGACTATAACATGCCTCTGAATCTGGTCATGACCATCAAGGACCATCACCACCTTTATTCGATGGAATCCTCTTGAACACAACTGGTATACTCTTAACAGTGATGGAACAGTCACGAGTGAGTCAAAAGCTGGCAGTGGAGGTCTTATCAGAGATAGAAAAGGTAATTGGATCGCAGGCTACACTAAATCCTTGGGAAGATGCAGTCTTGTTATTGCTGAGTTGTAGGGGATGCTTGAAGGTTCCAAAGAGGAGGACAGAAGAAGAATGAGAAATTTTAATCAAAAATATATTTAATTTAAGGAGGAATTTTAAAACTAATTTATCTTTTTACATTTAAAATATTATAACACTCGTTTTAAATAAAATAAAAATAAAATGATATTAAAAAAAAATTATCAATTCATAAACAATATTTTCTAATCTTGATGATTCAATTAGTTCTATAAATAATTTATTAAATTAAATTCTATATAATATATAACTCATATATTATAATTATATATAGATATAAAATACAACACAACAATTTATAAAACTATTAAATTATTACAAATAAAATGATAAATAAAATAAAACACATGCAAAAAAAGAAAGAAAGTTGAGTCGGAGTAAAAGTAATGGCGTTGTGTTTAAAAAATATTGAGAAATTCTAATAAGATGACAAACTAACATATAATATTTATTAAGTAAAATTTTTAAAATTATAATAAAAATTAAAGGTAATTTTATCAATATAACAAAAATATATATTATTACAACTCCTCTTTCTCCCCTCCATACCAAAAATCTCCAATTTAGAGAGAGTGAAAAACTACTTTGGGAGAGATTCATATTATCTCCTCCCCCTTCGTGCAAAAATTGAATTAATCATACTTAATTTAAAATATTTACTCTCCTCCTTTCTCTTTTTCTCCAAAGCTCCACAATCAAAGGGACCCTTAATAATTGATGATTTTGAAAAGGTTATATAAATGGTCGTGTTATATTTGTTTATTTTTTATTTTTTTATTAAATTAATTAATTGAAAATGTGGGATTGTGAGAATTGGCATTTGAAAAGTGATGCTAAATTGCCAATTTTCTTTAATACTAAATTGGAAATAATGATTAATAATTATTTTATATGCAAAGGGATAATTATTAAAGAAATAATAATTTAATAATTAAAATAGATAGTTGTATAAATAATAGATTGAATGGAAGGCAAATTGATGAAATTCATTTTATTCTATTCTGTCAAACTCTTTAATTTTCATTCTTCAAATTTATAATGTAAGCAATAGAATGAACTAAATGTTCTATTCCATTGTATATTATTAAAAATAACATACAAACAATAGAATGAGATTTTTATTCCATTTTATTTAGCTCAATTTCATTTAACTATGTTTTATTCTGTTCTGCTTTGCTATGCTGTATCAATCCAAACATATATTCTAAAATTTATTTTTCTTAAATACTTTTTACCACATAAGTTTCATATGCAATTTAGTCCAGATGACGTGGCAATGCTGTGTGATTCAACGTAAAAGATAATGTTGTTAATTTAATGTGCTGCATTATACTCTCAACCACGACAGTTAACAAAGTGTCTATTCTATTTTGTGTCAAATAGTGCTAGTTTTGTTTAATTTACCTAATCAATTTTATTATATTAATTACACTTTTCACATTGTGAAACATAACAAGTAGTAGTACCCATATATCCAGCTTCAATAATCTCGCTCTAAAATAATTAAGTGCTAATTAAGTACCATCTGTTTACGATTTATTTTAGTTTAAATTAACATGAAGGCCCTTATTCTGTTATCAAATTTTATTTAAGTTACTATAGTTTTGTTTAATTTTTTTAGGAAAGTAAGGGCATGCAAGAAATTTTTTCATGGGATTTATTGGTGGACGACCTCAAAGTCTATTAAACAACTCCACTCCTTGTGAACCTATCCTTTCCTATTTGGAGTGTTAATTGATTATTTTTTATATTCATCTACAAACATCTTCATCTAGTTTTGTTTTTTCAGTTCTACAACCCTTCTGCTATTGGAGCAACAAGTTTCAATTTCATATAGCAGTGTTTAGGTTGTAAAAGGACAACTATTCTGACTCGGAACCATATTTCCTGTTCTTTTTCTTTAATCAATTCATTCAATCCATAACAGACATTTGAATACTTTGTACACAGATATCCAAGACGCGTGCATGTAAGAAAGAACGTTGACACTAAATAACGCACAAATGCGAGATGAATCATATAAGGTTGAAACTAGTATAAAAAAACCATAACCCCAAAATTAGCATTTGACAGTGATAAATATGGTCTAAATATAATTTAAGAGGGGTCTTCTGAATGGTGATTAATGTAAAATTAAAATTGATGAGATCCTAGATCACTCATCTCCGAGCAAATCTGTGCCCTGCTCCCAACAACAACGCTCGCCCTACTGCACCACTTTGAATACCCAAAACCACAGCAATAGCCCCACCTAAGGCCACCCACTTCCAGTCCAGGCCAGGACCATTTTGCGGGGTGTTATTGATGCCTTGCCCCCTCTCTTCCACCAAAGACACAGCGTTTGACAAATGCAAGTTTCTATCAAAAGAAATCTTGGTTGTTTTACTCGCCATCAATGCACATCTCGACAAAGAAGCATCTGTTTTCCTAGCATTCTGGTATGCTCTCATACCAGAGTGCAATTTCTTGACAGCTCCCCACATTCCATGGCGGACTCCTAACTTTGCAACGTCTTTTGGAATTCCCATGTCTTCGTGATGCAAAAGGGTAACCTCGCATGCAGACAACTGACCATCACCTTTGCGAGATTCCACTGCATCAATTTCGCACACTCAATTGTTAAAACACCGCTACTAAATAGTTCACGTTAACAAGCAAATAAGATAGAACTTTGCCCATTTCTTACCAGGTTTGATTACCCAACTAGAAAAGTATTGATCTACACGTCTGGGCTTATCACGTTTTGGCAAACTTGGATAGGGCACCCCCTACAACATTGAAGATTAAATGGTAACAAACCTTGTGTTTACATATATAATTAATATTGTATGTATTGTGTCTTTTCTCAAAACAATAAAAAAAAATTGATAGCATGTATATGGGTTTATGAAAACTTAGATTGGCTACATAAGGAAATATCAGAAATGGATTGTATCAACTAACAGAAAGCTCGAATTAACAAATTCTTAGCATGACAAGTTAAAAACACCGAACAAGAATAATTTATGCGCAATTGTTTTTAGTGATAAATTGAAACTTTGGCTGTTAGTGCCCTTAACATCAACATGATTTTCTTTTTGCCAACAGAAGAATGGTAGCTAGCTAATGGGAAAGAAAAATAAACAAGATAAATGCCATAAAATTGCAATGAATTATGTTATAACTCATATTCATACCTTTGTCACACAGTAGTATGCGTTTCCAGCTTGCCAAATCCTTCGAGCAATAATATATTCCCGATCACTACAGAAAAAGGGGAACTATAGGCAGAAAGTGTAAGTGAACCATGTCAGTGTAAACTAAATATAAGAGTTAATATATATTTGGTCTAAATACCTTTTTAATCCAGTGAACAATCGATGTCCCATCATTAGGGCATTCCTCCAGCACTTTGCAGTGCGCGAGCATAGGATCCCATTTGGGACGAAAATCATCATCCCAGAAGAAATCCCTCACCAACTCGGGAGTTGCATCTTCAAACACAGTTCTACTACGGTAAACTGTAGAACCTGTCTGTTATAAGATCCATCATCAGACACAGATATATTTTAGTCAAACTACAAAAAGAAATAGTCATCAGCATAGATGATGACTGCGTAATGAGCCTTTTGGGTGTCAAATAGTCATCACATAAATCCACTTTAAACTAGGAAGTAAAAATGCCTTGAATAGAAAAGGATATCTAAAATAATTATTTATACGTGACATGTATATTTTGTGGCAGATTATAGACTGTCTCCGTGAGATGAAAATTGAAAGTCAGAATCTACCTCAGAGTCATAACGCCAAGCTTTGTATTGCATATTTGGTGTAGACCTCTCCATAAAATTTTGCCAGTCCATCACTCCATCCTTCCCTTCAAGAAGATGAAGAAGATGTTCCAAATCAACCTGTGTAACTGTATTCTGCTCTCTTTCATCTGCCTTATCACCCAACCTACGGAATATGCAATAACCAGGTACCAAAATGAATAAGACGATTTACTCTTTCGCCACCAATGCAGCATATAATATATCAAAAGATCATCCAAGAACTAGCTTACGAAGGAAATCAATTCGATAACTAATATGTGTGCATTTCAGTGTTTTCACTTGGTGATAGTGAAAAACATCATATTGTTAAAATTCTGTTATACAATAGTACTATAGCCCCACTGTAGTGGCTATTTGACAAATTTTGTAGCGGTTTGTCCAAATTCCGCTATGCTATAGCAGTATAGTGCCGCTAGAATGGCTATTTAACAACATTGGTGCATTCAAGAAATTCATGATACAGTCAAAAGAAGCTGATTGTCATTTTGAGGGAAGATGGGGAAAAACCATAAACATAAACTCAACCAACTTAAAGTACTAAAAAGAAGCATCACAACAAACTACTACACCAGTATGAATGCTACAATCATACTCCCTTTCCCTCTCAATATATATCTATCTATCTCTCTTTTTATTTTATGAGATACTACAACCATACTCTAAAAGGTAGCTAAATAGAAAAGAAGATTTGGGGGTAGCCACTAAAATATCCCTAACCTCAAACAAACACAATTAGATGATACTCTAGATCAATTCATACATCAAGAAATCCAGTTCCTAAAAATGCTAAAATCTAAATGCAAACGCAACCATCACATAAACATATACTACACATTGCCTAGTACATTATACATAATTCAATATTTTGATTTTTCAAACTCCTATCCACAATATTTTTTAGAATTTCTTATGATAAACTAACTATAATACCAACCTCTTAAAATGAATCTAATCAGAAATTAACACGTGGCAATGAAAACTTCAAATGAATCCACACTGTATAACATAAATTTCAATAGAAAAACCTAATAAATTGAATTCAAACCAAAATATGAAGATAGTAAGGTACCGAGTAGCGTGATTGATTCCGTCGGAAGAATTGGAAGTTGCGTTATCGGAATGCGAAGACGGATCTTGTGCTTTGGCCTTGTTTTTGAAATTGGACCAATAACTACGACAAATAGAAAAAGCAGAGAGAGCGGTAAAAGCTAACCATAACCGACGAGCACCGAATCCCGGCGGAACCGTCCATAGGAAGCGAAACTTGCTCCGAAGACCGATAAAGAGAAGTCCCGTCCACCGCGGCCGCCACGACCACCCGATCACTAACCCTATCATGACGGCGAGCCAAATCGGAACGGCGCATAGCAAAATGTCGACGAATGTTTCGGTTATCGAGGGTTTCTTCATAAACTCCATAACATCAAACAAATAATCCTCCATTATAGTTAAACCGCGAAATTGAAATTGAAATCGAAATTGAAATGAAATTGAAATTGAAATTAAATTTAGATGATGTTGATAATGATGATGGGGATGAAATTGGAAAGCCCTTTGTAGAGAAGACACCTAACAACGAGTTTCATCTTTCATCCAACGCAACACAGCACGGGATAATAGATTTTGCTTTTTGAGTTAGAAGCGGGACACGTGGCGTAATGTATACCGTCGATGTAGTAGCATTGAATAGTAATTAAGATCTGTTGACTTTGGCAGCTCGTGTCTTGAACCTTATCTGATTAATCCGAAATGTAAGTGTACAGTTGTGGAAGAAAGAGGATATGTATATTTGTTACGGTTGGTGATGCTTACACTACCTATAAATTTTCTTTTATTTGAGTTTAATTAGGTATACTTCTGTATCAAATGAGTTTAATTAGACACGTGGTATAACATTTCTAGAAATACAGAATGTAGATCTAATTTTTTTTGGGAAAAAATATTTTTTAATGTGAAATGGAGGAGACAATGTTTGAATACGACATTTCATCCATATTATTTAACTCTCTTGCAACATCATGGCACTAGTCATAAGACTTTGTCCATGTTATTTAATTTTCTTGCAACTAAATTTGTTTATAATTGACCAAAACTATTATACATAATTGTAATGGTTGGAAAAAAGAGTGCGGTGATCTTTCCAAAAAAAAAAAAAGTGTGGCGACTAAAATTTGAAACGTGGTATGTCATATAAATGGCTTTTTAACATGAAAACAACTAAATTAATTTATTATTTATACGTTAAAATTGAATAAAATTGAAAATGTGTGAAGACAAAGAATAATAATAATTAAAATAAATAACTTTTAACAAAAATAATTTTTAATGTAGTAAGACAACATCTTTATAACATCCTAAATAATTCTTAGGCATAATTAAATAAAATTAAAATAATTATCCACAAACATCATATTTAGGATATCATCTTTTAATAAAAATCTGCTCATATAAATAGATATGCAACACATATTACTTTTAAAATTATTAATAGTAATAACGATAATGAAGGATTATCCGAAAATTTAATTTTTATTGAAACATCAAAAAAATTCAACATTAAGACAATTATTCAATACAATATTTCAAAAAGATTATAAATAATCAGACAAAGGAGATATACAAAAATCTCCCACAAGCATAAAAAGGCAAACGTTCCATGATCCTGAAGTTACACATCAGAGCAGACGACGACTCTAAAATAAAATAAATCGGAAGACTCCAACTTTCACTCACATCAACTTCTCTACTACGAGTTATGTGCACGATGCCCATGAAAAGGCAACATTCAAACAGAAATAGGTGAGCTATCATAATTATATAAAGGAAAGCATGAATATAAGTGAGCAACAAATTATTTCATGCACATCACTCATTCCACACAACCAACACAACAACCATCCAACACAATAACAACAACTATTCAACATACAACAACGTCCAATATACAACAACAACATCCAACAAATAACAACAACATTCAACATACAACTACAACATATAACAACAACATACAACTACAACATCCAACACAACAACAGATGCAACCATTATGCAATGCAATGAGACCCACAACCAAACTCAATGCATGTGGTACCATTCGGTTCCTTTTTCAGAACCCAGTCCCTTTTTTAGAATCACAATTTCCGTCTGAATTCCAATGCGTGAACACTCAGGTTCACCGGCTCCGATCCTCACCTCTTAGGATATGAAGCTCATAATTTGTTATTATCATCATCGATAACATCTCATTGATTCCATTCATCCCGACAATAAACTATTGTCGTACAATCCTCACTTCCTAGGATTGATGTTCACAACAACGGACCAAAGTCCCAAAATCATGAATGCATGCAACATATTAATCATGCAGCAACAACAACAACAACAACAACGAGTACAATGACCAAGACCTCCATAGTCATGTACTTCACCAATACTGGTCATCACACTCCAAATACATGTTATAACAATTCAGTAATAACAACATAATAGTATAGTAATCTACAACAACAACAACAATAGCATCAATGCAACGTACAATGATATTCACCTTAATCATTATACCACACCAAAATTGGTCATTAACCACCAACATATACTACAAGCATTTAACAATAACACTATAGCAACAATTCATGCAACATATTATACGTGCAACAACAATATCATGCATAATGATCCACCACCATAGTCAATGTACACCGCCAATACTGACCATCATGCAACAACAACGTTATAACAGCTCAACATCATCATCATACAACAGAGCAAACAACAACAATTACATTTAAGATTATGTCACACCACCACATAAACCTGAAAATGCATTAAGTGCCCACAAACAACAGATTAATCACCTTTTGGTACATAAATCATTTTTAAAAAGTAGTTCGTTGCGTTAGATTTCCAACGCTTTGAACGACACTCGAATCGGACACTCGAAACTAAAGATATGAATTTTCAAAGTTTTTCCAAAAATGTTCCCAGTGTAACCGATTACCATAATCAAGATAACTGGTTACACCACCTTGTAACCAGTCACACCATGCAAAATACACACAGTGTAAAGGATTACCCTAATCAGGGTAACCGATTACACCCTTCAAGAATGTTCAAAAATGCAGTTTTAAGTAGTGTAACCGGTTACCTTAATCACGGTAATCGATTATACTGTTGACATAAGCACTTTTCTACAACTTTTTAAAACTAGAATCACTTTTAAGTCAACCCCAAAATCTCATTTTATACCATGAGACTAACACATATTTTTACCCCAAAAATCATTTTCTAAACATCAAAACTTCAACTTTTTTCACAAAAATACTCATAACTTTGAGATCTGACTCTGACTCGTTATAACATCAACAACATACAATCCAATCAATTACATGATTCCAACAATAATGTAAGTTCTGTGGTTTTTGGATATGCAACATTTTGGTAAAATATGTTGTTAGCAAGATGTTAAACCAGATGTTCTGCTATGACAGTCAGACATCATGTTCAGCATAATGTCACATGACATGTGACAGGACATGTTATACCAGAAAGTTAGGGGATGATTGTTTTGGTATTTTTAGTGTGATATTTGAGTACGTTTTAATTCACACGTTTGCATTATCCAAGGGAGGATATTGTGGGAACTTATGTTTTCACAGATTGTGTTGGTTTTTGTAAAAAGGATCCTTGAGCCTTTTTAGGAAACTTTGTATTTTATTCCTATTTTTATGCATGATATTATGCTTATGATTTCAAGCTAATTCCTAACGAATTGCGCTTCATGAGCCCAGACCCACGAGGTCTGAAGACTATTTAAATAAGATCTAAACCTAATGTATTTTACGACTTTTACTTTTGTAAAAATAAGGGGAGGTTTAAGAGTCTTAGGTTTTGAGAGTCTTGTTTGTGTGACTTTGTAAGTCACCCATGTATCTTTTGATACATTAAGGTAGACTGATTGTATGTTGTTAATTGTCTACTCTAAATATTTTAAGCAATAGTGTATTATTCTTAGTTGAAGCTCATAAGTAAAACTAAGTATTGTAGTTGGAAGAGTGTTCTTCTTCTTTTTGGTTTCTTGAGGTATTGTCATTGGGATTGTGGTTGATTAGAAAGTGTGAGGGGGATCTCATATCTAGAGGGTTTTTAGTTAGAAGTTGCACATGATAGTGATTAGGCGAGAAGTTGTAAACTGGAGAGTTTAGATTATAACTAATGTTATCATAGTGAATTTCCTTCCTGGCTTGGATGCCCCCAGATGTAGGTGATGTTGCACCAAACTGGGTTACCAATTGGTTGTGTTATTTATCTTTCTGCACTTTTTTTCCAGTTTGTGTTATTTGTTCAGTCAGACATATTTTGTTGTAACATTTGTCTTAACATTATGTTCTGATGTGAGGACATCAGTATTAACATGTGGTAGAGTGTCATAATTTCAATTGGCATTAGAGCTGACACCCTAGTCAATTTTTGGATGAGCTTCAGGGAGAATTTTTTTGGTACTGTATGATTATTGAAAGGACAACAACTATTGGAAATTTGTCACCAAAGAATGTGTTTGGATTGTTCCTTGTGAGGAGGAGTATGAGTTGACTCTTGTTATTATAAAAAGATTTGAATTTCATATCCTATGGAGTTATTAACATGTGTTCAGATTGATAAACACATGTGTGGTGACCAAAGATGCTTAGGATCCTCTCAAGACCTTTCATGAAGGCACATTTGGTCAGTAGGTTTCAGATGTCTCTACCCAAGAGACTTGTCATGAATGTGACTACTGTTGAAAAATAATATCAAGAGATCATCAACACAGGTGGACCTCTTAGGTCATTATATTATTAATCTGTCTTTGTGAATGAAAATTTTGATTTGAAAAACAAGAGCATGGACTTTGTCTCCTACTTTGTAGAAGTTTGTGACCTGACATATGATGAAGAGACAATTCAACCCGGTTCTGAGGAAAGTGGATAGATGGACAAGATTAAATTTCAAGAACATTCATCCTGACATCTTCAAGATTATGTTGTTCAAAGATAAGTTGGACCTGGTGTAAAGGTATAGGCACTCAGTTTCACGAGCTTGAAGGGTTCTATCAACGTATTAGAGCATATTTCTCTACCTATCTCAAGAAGCAACTTAAAGAGCTTTCTATTTCATATCTGATAAGTGAGTGAGATTGAAGATGGATCTGTCTACCTTATTACTGTCTTATTTGGAAAATGGATTTATGATGTAAACTCCTATTTTGAAGTATTAACTATGATGGTTCTGGCTGCATGTGGGTAGTTCAGAATTTTGTTTTGTTTCTGATGTGTTGGAGGTGTGCTTCAAGTCGGGATGATGACTGGAAACCTTAAAGGGATAGGGTGTTCAAGACTTTATCAATCAATTTAGACCTCAAGGATAGAGGAATTTGTTTCCATCAAGAGCCAAGTTGGGTCAAT